CGTCACGGTTGAAGAAATTTCAAACAGAATCTACGTACGGAATGTTCAATGGCTCTTTCTCGATATATTTGCCGTGTCCAGGGATTAGGAGGTTAGATTTCGCGAAATCTCGCTTTGTAAAGCAATATCGTTAGAGTTTTGCCGGACGAGTCACGAACGATGTTACACATTGACCTATATGTACACCGACTATGGACAAAGATCTACGTACATATGTACACGAGGCAGCTGCAACGGCATCGACCACGATGGACATAAGCGATGTACCTAAAACTTTCACACAACTATCCACTTCCTAAAACACAGCCTGCATGCATTTCTTTCCCAGATGTTTACGTAACGTCCCTAAAACCCGGGCTGTTAACTTTGCAAACCTAAAACTGGAACCACCAGAGGAACGACCGACCTAACCTAACCTAACCAAATCCCCGAATAAACTTACAATTTTTCCACGCGATCGCACTTTTCTCCGCTGTCAAAATGCTTGGAGCGAAATCGAAGGCCTACGCTCTGCAGGCCGTAACGGCCGACTGTGTATCATTTCTCTGGCATACGGTCGATCAATTATCTAATTGGCTGCTTTACATAATACACTCGGAAACAATTTACCATACCGAGGGGAGCGTCGGAGATCGTTCGACCAGCTTCGTCGAATTATTCGATCGAAAAGAATGCAAGCCGAGCGCATAATTATTTTATACAAATAGCCCCCAACTATTCGAGCAATTCCTAACTGTTGCACTCTGTCTCTGTCGTACGTGCGGCGCGCGCCGCACCGAGCGCGAACGTCCTTGACGGTCGCCGTGGCGACTGCGCAACACGCCACAGCGCAGCGTTGCAAGTCGTTGCGCATGCGCGCGCTCGATGCACTCGCTGCCTTCTCCCCACTCCTCCCTCCCTCGTCTCCTACCCCCACCGCTCTCAGTGCCACCTTTACCATCACGAGCGCAACCCTACTTCTCCGCGCCGTATATCGCGGTTGCCGCATATTACGTCATCGACACCTTCACTTCGCCCGTGCTAACCGAGCACGATGCTCTGCCATTCGTTGCTCTTTCGTTGGGCTCGCACGTTGCCGTCCTCTGCTGCAGCATATTCTTTTACTGCCTCCCATCGCCGGAGCTTTTATTCTCCTTCGAATTTACAACCTCGATTCGCTTCTTTTTTTTTTCCTTTTCATTGTCCCTTGCTTAAGTTTCTCTTTTTTAACACACGAACAGCTTACGGGGATTGCGAAGAGAAAGGGTGTTGCTCTCGTAGTAAGTGTTACAATAGATGATTTCTTTTTTCTTTTTGTTGGAACTTGTGGCTGGTACTTCACGGTTTCGTCCAGGAGGTTATTTTACAGGGAGATAGAAGCGAGTACTTTTCAGCAGAGAAAATTCCATATGGATCAAATTTAATTATATATGATTTGTAACACGGTGAACGAGTTATTACGCGTGTATACCGGTGTGAAATGTACGCGGAGTCAGGTGGGTTCGGGTTTATCAGTTCTATCAATTTACGCTAGTTTTTATTCGAACATATGTTGCTTTCGTTACTCCACGTAGCCACGTACATATATATATATAGATATGACCTCATACGGTTTCGGTATCGTAGAGCGGGACAGTGCAACATACGGACACCGGTTCGAAGCACAGCTTCGATTTATTCTACGCTGTACTTCTTCCTATCTCGTTTCACAGATAAAACACTTCCATAAAAAAAAAACAAAAGAAAAATTAAAAAACCAACCAATTTTGTCGTCTTTATCCCGTAGAATTGCAAAGTTTGCAAAAAGTACACTAAACCGGTGTAAATAACCGCAGGCGAACGTTCACGATCCATCGTATTGTATCTTCGCGACTTCCTTTTCCTCCGCGTCGCGCGGTTTCAAAGCGGGGATGACTCGCCGCGCCGCTGCTACTGGAACGACCAGTTTCGCCAGAAATTTACGCGAATGTCCCGAGCGAAACGGCAGAAACACGGCGCATAGGGGTGCCTCGTTAGTCGATGAGAAACGTTAGGTGGACGCGGGATACCTTCGTGTTAATCGGTCCGTCGATTGAAAATTCAAATGAAGCCGGAGGAAGAAGCGACCTTCCCTCGGGAAACCAGCCGCTCGTGCGGAATGTCGCAAGCTCGCGGTTGTTCCAATTAACGCTGACTTTTTTACCTGAATACGTTTTAACGATCGACCAACACTCGCGTTGGTTTGTCGCTGGAAAAAACTACGCGACAAATCGCGGTATTTTAATCAAGTCGTCGTCTCTCTTCGTTTCTCTGGAAAGAAAAGGAGTGCTTTCTTCTTTCTGTTTCGTGGTTTTTGCGGCTTATCTTGGAATAGTTTTGCAGCAGAGAGAGAGAGGTAAGAAGGAATTCGAAAGACGCGAATTCTTACATCGATGAATGACAAGAGTCGTCGATGTGGCGCATCCGAGAATAGATAAACCGCGGCTTCCATTTAAAAGCACCGCAGACCAATACTACGACGTGAAAGTAACGATCTGATGTAGTGTCAATAACCTGCGATAACTGTTTGACCTAAAAGTGTCTTTGAAACTTGCCGTATTTTTTTCTCTTTCTCTCTTTCGTCTCTCGAACTAATCGAAAGCTCGCGCCGCGTTGCGATCCACAGTGTGTTGCGAATCGCAACAGTTTCGGTCTGTTCTCGCGGCTGTGATAAATTAATGGAAGCCAACGTCCGCTCGATCACGCGTCCCTTTATCAGTCACCTGATAACGGCGACGGCGATTTTTTTTTATTCTTCGCGGGTATCTTCGCTCGTGACTTTCGCCGTTAGATTCGTGTAAAAAGCACGGCGGTGTAATATGCACCGAGGATCAAGAAGGATATAGGCGTAGAATAGTTCTCTTTTTGAACAGCGACAACAACGAGTTGCATTGTTGATAAACTTTAATATCCGTTGGAATTAAAATTTCAATTTATAAAAGCACGAATTATCGGGGATTATTCGATACGGTGTTGAAACGGTAAATAGCTGCTGGTTAGGTTGAAGCTGATGGAATTAGATTAGACTAGAAAATTTACCCTTTTACGACGAGGAAATATTCGGACATTAAGCAACACGACGTGTGCAAAAATATGCAGAATATTCGTAATATTCATTTTTGCTATGTGCTTAGATATTTGTGTAGCACAGTAATTGGACGTAATTTCGAGTAACTTGTATTACAATGCATTGAACAAACAATACGTAATCCTAAAGTAAAACCATCAACCTAATCCTTCCATAATTAATCAAAATATAATCGCTAAGAAACTTACAGTGTTGGAATATTTTTGGGGATAATTATAGATTTCTACGTTACCATCGGCGATATTAAACTTCCTTCTACTAACTTTAGAAAAAAAAAATAAATAAATCTCCAATGATACAAAATTGCAAAAAAATCGCTTCTCGCAACGGGCAATTTAAGACACGTCGATTTCGCCTGAATTTCCGTTTCAGTTAATCGAACGCGGCACAACTCCCCCCTTTTCTCCTCTGCAATGCGATAGAAAAATGACAGAGATCGCGCGTAGGTCGAGCGGCGATAAACGGCAGCTGATACCGCGAGGCGCGTTTATCGCGCGCGAATATCACGAAAAACCGGCGTTCAGTCGAAAAATCGCGAAGTGTACCGCGGCAATTAGAACGTATACGCACACCTGTCGCCGGTCCAATTCCTCCTGCCCGGAGCAACATTCCTACGCGAAGAGCACACCGGGAACGTGTTAGTCGCCATGTTGCCTTTTAATTGCATCAATTATCGTCTTCCTTTTTCCGCGTCGCCCGTTGGATTTCTACGCGAACGGTATTTAACGGCGGAAGTGGCGGATAACAGCTGCTTTGTAGAGAATTCTCTTGGTAGAGTAAAGTAGGGCGACAACTGTTGAAAAAGTTTCATCGTCGATGAGGAAATAATTCAGCTGATCGTAGGAGAACGATCGCGCTTCATGGTTTGCTATAAGCTGTCTATAGAACCGCGACATAGCCGGTTCTAGAAGCCGCAAGAAATGTTTCTCTGCTGGTGTGTATAAGTACGTGTACGCGCGCGCATACCACACAGCGCACCGGAAACCGGCTCTTCCCGCTCGAACGGAAAATATATATCGTGTGAATTTTTCGCGGGGCTAAAAACGGAGACACGCAGAAGCAGCTAGCTCGTTCTACGGGGTCGGTTTTATCGGGGCGAGATCGCGCGCGGCTTCGTTCTGTTACGTAACCGTGGCGACAACCACGGCCAGATAAGAATTGTGCAATTTATAAAACGGTCGTAGCGCGAGCGACACACACTCGGTACGACGTAGCATACCGGTTGAAAGCCCTGTGCGAAGCGCCTCTATCGTTGGATAGGGTGAATCATTTGTGACGATAGAAATGGGGAGTGTAAATGAATTTATATACTTACATATGTAATAGGAACGCAGGATGCCGTGAAAAGGATTTACGAGTGAAAAGTTGATATAACATTTAGCTGAAACAATCATGTCTGTGACGCGTGACATTTGAGGCGACCCAGCGGTTGGTTAGGTGTTTGTACCGCTGGATGAAAAAGATAGCGATTGAAGGCGTCATCGGCACGAAGAGATTCGTTGCGCGGCTCCGTGATCGTAAAAATAACACGGCGAAACGCTTATGTAAACTGTCGCTCTGCCGGCCGGCGTTCTTCGGGCTTTTCGTTACGCACAGTAACGCGGCGTGTGCATACGTCAAAATCAAGTCGAATCATGTGTGAGTCAGGAGCGCGTGGAAACACTCGAAGGGAAGAGCAGCGCGGATGACGTTTACCGAGCGACGGTGGATAGAACGGGGGTTCGGGTATAGTGGGGGTAAAGTATCTATAGTAAGAGGGAAGGTGAGAAGAGTGGGGGAAGGTAGAGTGCGTGCGCGGTCGAGTTGAACGCGGCTGTCAGTGTCAATTGGTTCGCCGCGGCGAATTGTGTTATCGTCGACGTGTAAGCCGACGTTGTATCCGAGAGTTTTTCTTCGCGCTCCGTCAAAGGTCGAAAACACGGTTTAATATACCATTGCGTATCGGTCCCTCGACTTTCTTGTGTGTTTACCATCTCTGGCCGCGAAGGGCAAACGACGAAGCGTCGTTTACGACAACGGTGATCTTGGAGGATCGGGGAATCGATCAGGAAAAGGAACTTCCGATTTTAATTCGTTCACAACCTTTTCGTTCGTCCGTCTGCCCGTCAACGACGACGGGCAGCCACGTCTCGTCCATCGAACAGAGAGGGTGGTTCTTGCTTTTTTTTCTTGGTGATCATCCTCGTTTCAAATATTCGAACGAACGGACGCGTCTGTTGGTGACGATCCACACAGTGTGTATGATACGGTCGAGCGTGATAAACTAAACGCGAGAAACTCCACGAACCCACGTATTCCTGTCTTTTAACGTCGGTACGTCGTCGCCGGTTAAAAACGTCACGTGTGGTGCCGGACGACGAGAGCATATGCGAGAGTAATCAGAGAGCCGCGTCGCATCCACGCAATCGCCTAAGTGGACGGGAAGAACGTTCCGATCGGATACATGTTAGCGGTGCCTCCTCGTCAACGGTGAACATCGGTAAGACGTGCTGTGTCACTGCGTCCCGACGACAACGCGGAGAGGCTCTTACAAGATGTAAGTACTTTTCTAATTAGAATACACGTACGCCGTATGCTGCATACCTACCTCCATATGGTAGCCTACGAAAACCGTTCGAACGTGTTCAAACTTGTTCGAACTTGTTCGATCGCGCGATCCGCCGATACGTTTCAAACGCGACCTAACCTGTCTCGATTACCGGATAACCAATATTCGTAGCGAAAAACTATCGATAATGAAGCTCGTTTTCCCGCGCAATAAACGATTCTAAAAAATTGCGTCGTTGGCGGTATTTCGACGGCGGCGTGCCCTCGGCGTCCTCGCCAAGCCGTAGAAATTTTGAAAGCGTCCCGCTCTTTTTTTCTCTCTCTGACTGATTCTTCCATCGACGTCTACCTTACCGACCGTGTTTCGAAAACAGCCGTATATGTCCGTGAACACGGATATACGAACAGTCGCGCTCTTTCCAGAACGTATATTGTACGCGCAGGCGCGCGACCTTTCCTCAGTCCTTTTCTTCCTTTCGCCACGACCGTAGATAGGTCTTTTTTTTCTCTTCACTTCGTGCCTTTTTTCTCGCTGTTCGTCTTTCAGCAGGGATAGAAACAGGGAGTGTCGACGACTCACTTGTACCGGGGTCGAATGATACACTCGGCTTTTCGCGGTTTCGTGTAAATATTTACCTCGGTATTATATATACCCGTGTTCTGTGTGCGCGTGTGTGTACGTGCGTCTTTCACCATACTATTACGAAACTTGTTCTCTTCGGTGAGCTATATATCGTTGTTACGAATCACATCGACTACATCATAACCGTAACTTTGAAAAATACTAACCTATACATTCTTCGCCACGAAGAAGAAACATGAAACGAAATAACTTCTAATTCTACGTATAGATGGCATACGCAAAATCGAAGTTACAGTCGACGTAATCTAATTCGATTCTATCGAAACAAAGAACATGGCGAATAGGCATCGTCGATCAGAAAATGACTCCATTTAGTTCGGGATTGTGCACGGTTACGGTGTTTGTTGAATTTTCAAATTGATCAAGGTCAAGAACTCGTTCGCTGTTCTCGGAAGCGCAAAGCCTCGCTAGTGGGTGTAATTCATCCGTTAAACGTAATTACACATGGAATCCTGCGAGACGCGGGCCGATTAGAATCTTCGTCGCAACAGCAGGATCGATTATTATCCTGTCCGTTAGGCTTTATCGCATCCTGTTCATCGCGTTGTTTGTTCCCTGCATATACGTACGTACTATACATCCATAAGCAACAAGGTTGTGCGCGCGATATTATATTTTTCCTTCTGTTTCTTTTTTTTTAATTTTCGTTGCATGTGACCGCGTGTTCATCATTTGTAATTTGTGTTCGATGTCCCAAATAATTATGGAATCCGGTTTCTGAATAATTCAGCGTCGAATAACAGGTTGTGCGTTTAATTAATCGCGCACGAGCATAACATGGTAATAACAGGAAGGAAGGGAAATATTTAAAAACGAATAAAGAGGATATGCTGGTCGGTTAAACTGGCTGAATACACGAAATTCGACCGGTAGATTAAGGTTAGAAATTTTTCAACGCTGATCTTTGCGCGATTAATTATTTCGATCTTTCTGTTGGCGTTGGCTCGGAACGTTCGTTATTCTCTCTGTGCGTGTAGTACTCAAATGATACTTCGTTTAAATATAGATTAATTATTAACATTTTCGTGTGTAATTCGATCGCGAATTTTGCAGCAGCCGCTAACGAAGTGGTCGTTAACGACGTTAATGATCGAGTGATTCGAATCGCACGGTTAATCTGTCTAAATAAAGTAACGTCGCGTCGTATATAAACGGGTCACTAGATTAACGTCAAAATCAACATTTACATAGGAGAACGACATGTTTGAATAAGGTAATTGAATCAGGGCAGAAAAGATTTCGTCATCCCATAAATCATCAACTATAGTGGAATCTTTTTTGTAAGTTTAAAAATAACAAATTCGAAATGTATAATCGATGATGAATTCGCAACTCAAACTAAATTATACGAATCCAGAGACGACGACGACGTGGTCGTGGACAATTTCGAGCAAAAAATCGGCAGACATTTAGATTGAATTTTGAAACATCGTACACGCCTTGTAGCTTTCGAAATTTTCATATTTAATATCTCTTAAAATAACGTGCCGCGTTCGTCATCCATCCTGGTGAGAAAATTTACAAGAAACAAGGCATAGGAATTCGCATCGATTGTGTAACATTTGTCATGGAATACCTGGCTCTGGCATGTTGCGTTGGCGTTTCTCGGATACTCTCGAATCGGAAAGTGCACTCGAACGAATTATCGCGCGACGTACGCTCCGCCATTTTTCTATTTCGAACGATTCGTTCGAAGCGCGGGAAAATATCTTCGATTCGAAACATCGAAAAAATTCCGAATTATCGTACATTCTGAGATACACAAAATATTATCAGAAAAAGTTAGATAAATGAGAAATAAAATATCTGTCGACGTACGCTGATCATTTTTCTATTTCGAACGATTCGTTCGAAGCGCGGGAAAATGTCTTCGATTCAAAAAATCGAAAGAAGTTCGAAGTATTGCACATTCTAAAAGACACAAAAAATTAAAAAAAATTTGAAATAAAATACCCATTAATAGCGACAGAATTGTAGATGTGAAACGACGAGAAAGCAAAATTCGACACAGTTACCGAAACGCGAAAGTTCCAAATAGATTTTCTCGTGCATTCGCGACTAATGCATACGGTTTTCATCTTTACCTCTCGCGAGTTCCGCGAACCAAGCAATGAGTTCTATATTCGGCCTAACGTGAAAGTGTACGTACGTCCTTGGCGCAATAAACGCTACTTTCAGCTGGAACAAAGAGTAGCACGCAGTAAAATGTCGAGTGCTGCTCGAGCTGCACTCACTTCCCCGTTGCGTTCTACGCTGCATGTCCCCCCGTTTTATTAACTTCGAAATGACGAATTCACGTAACTAGATAATGATGCATCGTCGTATCTCTAATTGTCTAATCGTATCGAAAATGAAATGTTTAATCGCGTTACAGTCACGCTCATTAAGACCCGGCCACTCTTTAGAACGGTCTAACTTTTTTCAAATTGGACCAAACAACTTGAATTTTTTTTTAATTTTTTCAGAATTTAGGATTAGTTTACTAGATTACAAAAATTTTCAGCACGTATACAATTGACATACGTATTTATTAAATTTTCCCAACAAGCTCAGCTAAAAAAAAATGCAAAAAGTGACCCTTACAATTTTTTCAAAATTTGTTATACACGTCATCCAGTGTACTAATCTTTCTAATTAAAAAAACAAAACTCGAGTCATTTGGTGAAATTTTAAAAAGGTTACAGCGTTCCAAAGAGTGACCGGATATCAACGAGCGTAACTATATATACAAATTTCTGACAATTGTTCTATTCTTAGCGGTGAATAAACAAAAAATGTTCTCGTTGCACACTACACTGTAATATTGTAATAGTATCGATATCATGCTCGTGTTACTCGCACAATCTTCGTTTAGTATCACTTTGCTTTCAACAAATCGATGCCATTATGCAACGTTAAATTACCTCTGTAAGGCTTCTTTATTCGTTTTACGTTCTCCTTCTCTTCCTACTATCTCTCTGCTCCTCCCTCTCTCTCTCTCTCTCTCTCTTTCTCTCTCTGTGCCCGTGTATTTTACGTACCAGCAAAGTAATTCCGCGTTAAGTAATATACATACGTTCTCCATAAATTATCCAGCTGTAGGAGGCCAACCTCGAACGCACAATAGAGAATACACACGAAAAAGTCGTCGTCGACGACGTCGACGTCGCTTTTTAATCTTGGCCATGCACCAGCTCTCGCCGCGTACAGATAAGATTATTTAATTTGTGTCGTTGGTTCGATCGAAGTGACTCGGTGTTACCATGGAATGTCAAGCGAATTCTCGTTAACGTTGACACGCATAAACGCCGTGGCTGCATTTGGCACGATGGCTCGTTTGATTACGTAGTCAACAGGTTGTTTATCGATCACACTACTCGCGTAACACTTGTGCTTGCTCAGATCGCGATCGAATTCCACGATTTTCGAAACGCAGAGAGCGCGCGCGTGTGTATAGGTACCCTTTGGAATTCGTCACACGAAACTATTGCGATTTCGAATGATGGCTTGGTCGTGAAACGAATTTAGTCGACTTGATTCTCTCTCTATCTGTGTCCGGCTCGACACGCGGTACGTTCGATGGGCGTATTGTTAGAACGATTGCGAAATGAACGCGTTGGAGAATACCACCGTGCGGTTTCGGATACAACGACGACGACGACGACGACCTAGGTTAACAACGACAACACGACATGAGCGATTTGTGCGCGACGAGAGAGAGAGTGCAACAGGCTGTTTTTCTACGTTAGCATAATCCTGCGATGCACTTTTACGCCTTCGCCGCCGCAGCCTGTCGTCGTAGTCTTCGTCGTAGTCGTCGCGAAATCGCATTACTCTTGTTTCGGTATTTAATTTTCCCCGTTGGAGCTCTCGTGTTTCCATTGTTGTTTGAAGGTTACATGCTGTGACACTGGCTTAATCCCCGGGACAATCTCCACGCTAAGACTTCGGACTTCCGATCCGCGTCGACAAAAGCTTCGTACCGCGTTCTCGTGTCGGGGAACGGTGGAAATGATTTTTTCATCCAGACCATTTGTCAGGTGTATTTTTTATTTATTCATTTGCGCGGTTTTCGGCTTATTTGTCTAGGAGATAGCAGAGAGCGGTCGAAATGTCGAATGAAAATTTGGAATATTTATTTTTTTCGATTTATTTGCTAATTGAATTGTCATTTTATTTTAGTGCGTTCTTAGAGTTTTGTCTGCTGCATTGAAAATTGCCTTTGATAATTCTTGCTTTTGTGATAAAATATTACTGCACTTGTAATCGATCAATTCTTCTTTGTTCTGACGTCAATTTGAACGATGTTAGTATAAATCACACCGTTCATTTGAATACGAAATGACGCTTGTCCACGTTGATTTATT